CCCATGGACAGAAGAGCCTGGTAGGCTACAGTCCGTGGGGTCACAAAGAGTCGGACATGACTGAGTGACTTCACTCACTAAGAGCAATATAGTTAGGTACTTTCTTAAGGAATAAAATCACATTCATCTGCACTAAAAATATAAATAAAATCATTTTTAAAAATGCTTTGTTTCAAATCAGTGTTAATTTACATAATTTGCAAATTAAAAAATAAAGTTATATTTGCCATGCAGTGAACACAGATATATGGTACAGTTCCTATTAATTTAATGGGAGTTATAACTCCCATTAAGTTTAATAGGAGTCGTACAGCCAAATCCCCATGTACCTTGCTGAAAATTTACCTCCTAGCTTTAAACTAACCACATGTTCTGAAATGAACAAAAGTAGTCAATTTTGGTAGACTGGGAAATCTAAAGTCCCTACAGTAGGTCAATTCAGTGTTATCATGGCAAGGCCATGTAGTGAAGCCCAGCAACAATAAAAAAGAAAAAAATTATAACAATGAGAATAGACAAACTGAAGCAAGGGGTTACAAGTGTTGAAAATATAACATTCACCCTCAACAGAAAATATGTTGTTTTTGTCAATCTGGAGTCAATTTTCCACTTGTTTTCTTTCTCAGTACAATGTTTAAAAAGAGAAAAAAAATAATAAAATCCCCTTTTGAAGCCTAAAATTATGCCCAAGGAGCGTGATCAGAGGGATAAAGAATCATATGAAAATGTATACATAACTGGTTACCGCTTCTGAATCACAGTGAATTAAATCATAACTTTGTCTGAAAAAACCTTTTAAAGTTAGTTTATATCCACACTCATGTTGCCATATACCTTACCTCAACCACCCACACATATAATAATATCACAGTGGTTCTTAAGTGTGATGCTGAGCAACATCAGCCTCATCCCAGAAATTTGTCAGAAATGCAAATATGTGGGCCCCACCCAAGAACTTCTAGGTGATTCATCTGCTCCTCAAGTTTAAGAACCACTGCACTACTTTATTCCACATCCGTGCTATTCTCTATGTTGGTTTTTTCTCTACTACCATGCTCACGATTTACCAAGCTTGTTCAGCTCATACTGAGATTCAGCTCAAGAATCAACATCACTTCAGGCTAGAAGCATTTCCAGACACATACATACCCACTCAACTACCCTTTATCCCAATGCTTCTGAAATAATCACCATCATGGCACTTTTCACTCTGTTATTACAACTGTTTAAAGCTTTCAACTTATTGAGACCATGACCCTCTTTAAAGATTCATGCTATTCATGTGATGGATACAGAGTAACTGCTTACCATAAGTCAGGCATTGTTCTAGTCACTTGCATGTCGATGAACAACAAAAAAGATCCTTGCCCTTGTGAAGGTGACTTTGTGTGTGTGTGTAAATATAAATTCTGAACAGCTCATTATAGGTATGTACCAATAAAAGAATGAAAGATTAAAAGGAATAAATAAATAGCGGTCTGAAAAAATATTTATGGGCCAAAACAGGTTTTTAAAATTCATATGTGACCCCTAGATCAACTTTTTTCCTGCCAACTAACTAGATCCTACAGCCAACATTTTTTTACTGAGACATCATTAACACAAAAGTCACTGTAAAATGTTCTTAAAAATTTTAAATATAAAAGCTGCTAAGATACTATTTCTACAGCTATGTTCTTAAATTTTCTTAATGTGTGTGTGTGTGTGTGTATATGTGTATATAAATATTTGAAGTTGTATCTGGCATATCTGGCATTTAGTTTATACCTGGCATAATAGTTTCTTTGAAATAAGCAACAATATAATCTGAGTTAATTAACTAAAATTTCAACTAATGAAATCTAATTACATACTCACTGCATAAAGAACTCAACCTGATATCCATATTGCCTATTTTGCTGAAGAACCGCTATTATTTATAACTTGTCACTTTGGCAAGCCTTCATATATCTTGACTTACACTTGCTAGGGGCTCCATTATATAGAATAATTTAATTCTCCAGGACACAAAAATTCAATTTACTTTCCTACTTACTGATACATGATTCCACAGGGGGTTACTAGTCTTATAAAAACTGGCCTAAAGAACCAAAGCACAACAGTTTTCTCAACAGAACTGACTTTTGAAAGGCTTGAGGTTAGTTCTCCGGGAGTAAAATAAACTCTAAAAAACCTTAAGAGTATTTTCTGTTTTTTTATAATCATTTTTCTTGAAACTTTTAAACATAACTTTCAAAAATACACAGGAAAGACCTGCAAGGATAAACAATGAAATATTGTTCCTACTTTGCAAAAATCGGTAAATTTTAATGGATGAAACTTTATTCTATTAAACACTAGCTGATTTAAAAAAAAATGGAGACAGCAATATAAGATAAGCTAATTCTAGCAATTAAACTTTTATGTAATTAGCTTTTTCCATGGTAAAACACACAAAAATAAGCTTAGTGATTTGCTCTTTAACATGCACACAAAACATGACATAACTGTAATATATGCCTGGACTGAGAACAAATATGTAATTCCTTCTTGCATATGTGGAAATTTACCTTTCATATACAGACATGTAAAACAAAGCTAAAAGTATGTTAAGTCTTTAAAATCATATACTAAGGTAAAACACTTCTGTAAACAGAAAAAAAAAAAAAAAAAGCCTTGAAAAGGAAGGCATGGTCCCTGGCTGAACACAAAACACAGACTTTTTTTTTTTTAAGTCTAACTTAGTTGCTACTACTTAAAAATCTAATGTCTGTTTTCTACGGAAAATTCAAAAGATTGGCAAAAGCAGGCTGAATACTGGAAAGGCAAGCATGGGTCCCCCGGCAAGCACTTTTCTGCCTGCTGCAGACCTCCAGTAGTTATTTGAGGTTTAGACCTCCGCACAAGACCACAAGCTCCTCAAGAGAAGGGACAGTGACTTGCCCATGTCTGAACCCTAAACAACTGGCTCAATTTAGTCACGCAATAAATTGGGAAGGAGGGAAGAAACCCACCTAAAAAGCCTTATCTGAGTTTACCAGCAAAATTCAGGAGCTGACACAAAAAGTGCTCATCTCCCTAAGATCTAAAAAGGTAACAATCAAGTAAGGGACAAAAAGAAACTCAATGGCTAAAAGGTTACTTTGTATCTTCTTTCCTGTGCTCTCACACCCAACTTTGAGAGGTTTTCTCTATGGGTGTTCACAGGGCATTATCTGCTGGCTGGCAATAAAGGTCTATCACGTCACATAAAACTTTTTCTAAGACAAAACCATGTGACACGGGAACAGCATTGTTGACAGTGCTGTGCGCAGTAGCTGTGTGTACTCTCACAGCAAGCAGTGTGGGTTCCTCCCAGGTTCTCTTTACCTGTAGGAGGGAACTGCTTCAAAAGTAACACACCCTGGCCTCATGCACCAAAAAATGAAATTCTCTTAACAGCAGATATGAATCCTGACCTAATAGGTGACACTAGAAATGAAACCGCAGTATCCCCTGAAAAAGTTGCTAGTTTGCTAGCCCCCTGCTGAGTTAAGCAACTGTGTCAGTAAAGTGGTCTCATCTCCACTGGAAATTTTTTTATTATGTGGACTAATGAGCCATTGATCCACACCTGGAATCTTTTTAAATGTATAAAAACATTCAAACATAACAGCAGGAACGCAGTTAGTTTATCTCCCCCTCCCCCAAAATACAGATGCAAAATTATACATGACACACAAGATTTTCATAACTTCAAGCCAGAGATTGATATTGTCAACTCAGCTTCTGCTCGTTGTTTATCATTACAGTACTATTCATTCAGACACTACATTTTAATGTTAGATTTCATGTATCTTTCAATTCTGATGTCAAGAGCAGTATCTTCTGAAAATAAAATACTAATTTATTTGCAACTTTCATGTGTGACTTAAACCCAGATGAGCATTATTTACTTCCTGAACACAGAAGTTCTTATTTTAAAATTTTTCTCAACTTGTTATTTATCTAAATTATATTATTAAGTTATATCAATATACTGAAAGTAGGGGCTAGAACAGAAAAACGTTAACGTTTTGAAGCTTATTACAAAGACACTGGAATGATAATCTACAATCTATTAACTGAAAGTATGCCTCTTTTTTCCAACCTACTATTTTGTTAACAGGTATAAATGGGATGGGACCATTTAAAAGTACATATAAAGCCAATTTTAAAATTCTAAGACATTTTCATCAAGAATACTTAATTGTGACAAAAAAATCCATTACATTTTACATGCATTTCTCAGAGACTGTACATTTCTTTCACAGATTTTACATACCGAATACAATGACTACCACTACCAACTAGCCATAAAATGAACATATTTTAGTGCCACATTAACTTCTGACCTACTCTGTAAAAAAGCACCTGAAAGAGTGTCATTTTCACATGGAAATAATATGTAAGACTAAAAAAATAATGGATACCAGAAAATCCATATAGTAATTATGGTTTCAACTAGTTCATTAACACTCTAAGTGTATTCTTTTCTTCAAAAATCAGGTCTGTCTTCGAAAAGATAACATGAGAAAGGAAACAATAGTAAAAAAACAACTTTTTCCAGAAAATTTAAAAAAAAATTATTTTTAAGTTTTAGAACAATGACCACACACTTAGGAAGCAGACCAAACTAAAGAAGAAATGAAAGAGTTATCATGAAATATTTTCAATTTTACTGGAAAAAATTAGCCAATAAATGCAAAATATATACCAAAGCAAAGCTTTTGGTTAGTTCTCTCAGGATTATTTATGATGATTATATTTATAAATATATGTAAAATATAAATTTAGACTTTTAGCACTTTATATAATATACAGCTATGTAAAAAAAAATTCAATCATCAGAAAAAAAATATGATATTCAGGAAATTTATTTAATGCTTAATTCTAAAATAATAAAAAATATTCATTCTAGTCACTCCTATATATAAAAAAAAAAATTTGAATATTTTAAGTTCTCCTTAACTTAAAAAGTAAAAATTCAAACTGTATCTTACCTTCTGTATTCGGTAAGAAGCTGATTACAATGATAAACCACAGACTTCGCATTCTGCAACCAGAAGACACCATTATTGATCCCTTTAAATATTTTCTTTGTATTCCTTAATGAATCTAGTTATAAATGCCCAGCTTCATCGAACCCAGCAGTCTGCATCATTGATCCTCATATCTGAAAAACAAACAAATCCATCATTTACTCTATGATGGATGAAAAAACAATAGCAACAACTCCCCTCTTTCCAACCTTTCTTCCCTCCTTCTCAGAAGTATTAAAAAAATGGCATATATTTTGATCCTATATTCAACAGGAAACTGTTCCTATACACTAGATATCTGAGCCCTACATTCTGAAAACAAGCAAAGCCCCCCAAGTTAAAGGTAATCAGAACATATGAATGCAAATAGTAGTTAAATAAATTCCCAAAGATGAATTTTTCTTGGAAAGATTAAAGTTATTCCAGAGAATAAATAACTGTCTTTCAATGCCACACAGTAGTCATTTTACCAGCTTTAATATATTAATACAATACCTCCAACAAAATTTCATTAATACATATACTTTGCTTCTAGTGATGGTAACAGCAGTATTATCTACTATTTTATCCTATTATCTAGTAAAGTAGACTACAGATATAGTGAAACAGTTTATTTTTCAACTCAATGGTGTACAATTTTTAATATATGGTTGTAGCTTATGTAATTATGGCATTCCAAACACTACACTGCAAACTGTTATTTATCTGACTGCTACTTATTCATAGGAATCATTTAATAATGTGATTGATTGTCTCTTAAATATTTCAAGTTTTAGATTTTCATATATCAGTTTTTCTTACAGCAAAACTTAGTAAGGTCAAACCCATGTCCTTGAGTAGTTTAACACATCCACTGGACCCAAATAAAAACCTAGACCATAATGGCTATATATCTCCAAGTTTGCATCACCAAGTCTAATTCTGACTAGCTTTTACGTTCCCAGTTCTTCAAATGAAGAGGATACAAAAACTCAGGTGTGATTTAATCAGCATTTCTACGATCCCAGGATCACATGAAACCAGATCATTTGCTAGGTACTTACAGCAGTGTTTTACTCCTTTCTAGCGTAGGATGAGGAGTCAGAGTAAGTACCAGCCTTACAATATACACACTATGAAGGCAGTTCCCAAACACAGCCAGCCTCCTCATCTAGCACCTGAGCAGAAAGAAATTACAAATTCTTCCTGTAAAGTTTTCCCAAGCTCTCCTTAACCTTTTACAAATAGTTTTTTAAAGTGAAGCAGTGATGGGTATACCTACCGACATTATGAGGTTGTGTCTATAACTCAAAATGAACTCTTACATAATTTAGATGCTATCTCTAAAGCATAAAGAAAATTTAAAAAACCAAATTTCCCCTAGATAATGTTGAGCTTTTCATTTCACAGCAGTTAAGGTATTCTGAATTTGCTACGTGCTTAATGCATCATGCTGCTGTGCTTAGTCTCTCAGTTGTGTCCGACTCTTTGCAACCCCAAGGACTGCAGCCCGCCAGGCTCCTCCGGCCATGGGGATTCTCCAGGCAAGAATACTCAGTAGGTTGCCATGTCCTCCTCCAGGGGATCTTTCCAACCCAGGGATCTAACCCAGGTCTCCCGCATTACAGGTGGATTCTTTACCATCTGAGCCACCAGGGAAGCCCAAGAATACTGGAGTGGGCAGCCTATCCCTTCTCCAAGGGAACTTCCCCACCGAGGAATTGAACCAGGGTCTCCTGAATTGCAGGGAGATTCTTTACCAGCTGAGCTACCTGGGAAACCCCTGAATGCAGCATACGTGATTCTATTATAGCAGCTCACTATATTCTATTATCAGTTCCCTACAATGTAACTTCTATGGAAAAAGAGTCAGATTCTAAATGGTTTGGAATGCTGATCAAGCTATAAAGTCACTATCTTGCTTTGCCAACAAACATACCAGAAAGAACATAAAAAATTAATCTGAAGCTACTATCTAGTGTTTATATATTAAGATTCATAGAACTACAAAAGGAATTAGCAAGACAGTCTATAATGAGTTTATTTTATCATGCCTATAGTTTGAGATAAAGCTGCTTCCCTATACACACTTCCATGATCCATAACCAACCTAGTTTTTTCAGCTCTAAAACCCATGAAGACAAAATTAGGCATCCTAATGAGAGGAATCAGAACTGGCTTACCTAGTTCTAAGAACACCTCAGATTTTCTCAGAAATAAAACAATAACAAAAGGAAAAGCAAACTTCCTCCTCAATATGCCAAAAATACACAAAGAAAAAAGATACATCAAAAATTAATCTCATAGAGAACACATGGCATACAACCCTGCAAAACTGGCTGGTTCTCTATTCATTTTTCACTCTGAGCTCCCAAAGACTATTCAAAAGACAAAACCAAAAGTAAATGTTTAATTTACAACTGCTGTACAAAGTTACCTGCCTTAAAACTACAAGCTATTTTATATAAAGCACAGAGAGACAATTTCATGGCCTGTCACATTTAAAAGGCCAATCATGAACAGTTTCTTAAATCCCACAGACTGGTCAATCATTGTATCAAGCAATTAGAATAATTTTAATATGTGGAAGAGGTGCATTAATGTTACTTGCAGTAATTAAGTCAGCCTCTGGAATACTCCCAGTTCAAGCAAAGAATCCTGACTATCCAGCTTTTGGTTGCAATAGGTACTTTTATCTCAATGAACTAATGCATATGGGCGGCTTGCCTACATGCACAACTCTTGAACACATTTCCACTTTCTTCAAGTAACTCAAGATCAGTCTGTCTTTGGTCACAGGCTATTTGAAAGAGTCCTTGTTTGTGGGAAGAAATAGAAAGAAGAAATCAGGGACTGATGACTGCTTTGTAGGAAACAGCTGCCAAGATAGGAAAACCTCTGTCAGTTAAGGGAAAAGGAGGAGGAAACCACACAACCCAGACCTCTTTTGCGGTCTCTGGTTAGGATAGAACATTTCATGAACTGATTTAACTGTGCTAAAACTTCAGTGTATTCCTGAGGTTTAAATGTGAAACACAATTTTAAAAATACACTTTAGTCAATTATAAGACTTAGTATAAATGACTGTTTCTCAGAAAGAGATTCCAAAATGTAATAAATTCATGGCTTTTTTTCCCACACAAATAAAGCTTAGGTCCGTCCATCTGTCTGTTCAATGAGTAAAAGAATATCAAATTGATTATTCTCATTCTACTGCATACAGCCAATCACTTTCACATCAAATAAAATTATTTTCAAAAGTTCAAGCTTTAAATGCAATTTTGAAAACAATCAAAAGATTTTACTGCTGATTCAAATGAAAAACAACCTTCCATTTAAAAATGTCAATGAAAATTGAAATACTTAGCAGACCACAATTGGCTAAGGACAGAATGAATAAATAATCAAACATTAGTCATATAATGTTTGCCAAATAATCAAACATAGTGAAATTAGTCCCAAGAAAACACTGCTCCTAAATCAAACTGGAGCCACAAGATTCTCACTGGCATAGATGGAGCCAACAGACCTGTCCTTCAAACTCTATAATCACCTGCAAAAGGCAGCTCAGTAAGTGTCTCACAACGCAAAACAAAAACAAGGAACAAAACCAGGAAAAGGCTATTACACTTTCTTTGAGCAAACAGAAAAGATTAAGGGATTCTTCATACTAAAAAACAATATTTCTTACCCTTCCCAAGAACTTCAGGGAAAAAACAGGAGTATGATGGCATAGCGCACAGATGAAACCCTTCATAATGCTAAGCAGCAGTACATTTCTTAATAAAAACTGAAACAGAGCATTTCTACTTAAATTATGAATGACTCTTATCCTTATCCTTTCAAATTCAGATTCAAACAATTTCGTCCTAACCTTGTTTCTATAAATACATGACACTGTCTATCAAACCTCTGTCAAGATTTTTTTTATAAGTAAGTATCCTATTACTCTTCCAGGTAAAAAGTCAATTAATGCATCATTACTACTAAACCTTTCAAAGCTCAACAACAACTTTCAGGAGCATGCCTCAGAACTGTTTATAACCCAACAGTCCTCAATGTTTTATACACTACATACAAAGTACAGTTACCCATAGTCATTCAGACAGTAACCTGCTTATATTTATTAGCTGCATTAAACATCTCATGCCTTAAATTGTCAGCAAATTTAAGAAATACTACTAATCAATTTTAGTATCTCTGTATTATGTTACATTACTAAAACATCATACTTAACTTTATATATGTTGACACCTATTTAGCAAAAATAGAACCAATAAAACCCATTTGTTTTAAAAAGCTCAATGACAGAAGCAGGATATAGCATGCTTCAAATCAATGAGAAAAAAAAAAAGATACTTTAAATTTTTCTAAAATTGGTTAACTGAGGTTGATATCCTATTAAGTGCACAGCCACTATAAAGATTCGTATCTAAAGCTTTATCTTTGATTTCTTCTCATGGACACCGAACTACTGTGAACACTGGATATTAATCCCAAACAACCAAAAGCAAGAGAACAGGAAAAAGAGAGAGCCCTCTAAGCAGGAGACCTAACAAAGTTACCCATCCTTGAGATCATGTACTAATGTACTAATGCTGTGTAAAATGAAACATTAATGCTCTGGGTAAGCATAAAATTCTAAGCACTAAATGTATGTCAACTCTAAATGAGAGCTAACGATTTCTGCACAAAATCAGTCTTTCTGATCTAATTTGTGCTATAAAATTATAATCATTATGGGACAGAATTTACTAGCAAATAAAAGCTGCTCTTCTATGTTTTATCAAAACTATAGTTACCAAAACAACAGGATGATACCAACCCCATTCTGCCCCCACTGAAAAGATTTAGAAAATGAAAAATAAATTACAGAAATTCCCCTTCTTTTGAATAGAGGAGAAAACATGGACACCCTTGGGAGTTTTCTTTCAGTAAGCTGTTGAAGTAAACCCCTGTTATCACTAATCAGAAAGCCTTTTTTTAACTCCAGATGTTTGATGTTCTTTTCCATTTGAGTTTATTTTCTTTCCCTTCACAAGGATAGGGCTGGGCTGAAAATGCTAACAGGCATTTTAAAACCATGTGGCCAACCACTAGTTGCCACTATCTTTCTCTGATTCATTTCTGCAGATATTGGTATCAAATATACAGT